AGAGAGAGAGAGAGAGAGAGAGAGAGAGAGAGAGAGAGAGAGAGAGAGAGAGAGAGGAGAGAGAGAGAGAGAATGAAAGAGATAGATAAAGAATGAAAGAGAGAGAAAGAGAGAGAGCGAGAGAGAACGAGCAAAATGAGAGAGAGATCGAGAGAGAGAGGATATGTGTGTGGGCATGCGTTTGTGCGCACGCGTGTGCGTGCGTGCTCGTGCGCGTGCGTGTGTGTCATAAATCAAAATAACTTGTCGATATATGTGGACAAATTTCTAACAAATTTCTCATTTTTATTGTTATTCATCGGCGTAACTTTCATGCATGCATTGTTTTCCCAACAGCCAAAGTGCAATGGAGACAGAGTGCACAGGTACAAACGTGAGGCCGTGGAGACAGACATTAACGCGGAAACCACGATGCCAAGCAAGGAATCTGAAGACGTCAGAGAAAGAATGGATGTGTACAACAGCGTCACTATCATGCTGCCGAAGCAATCCGAATCGGAATTTGCTGGGTTCGGGGCCAGCGCCGACGAAAACGCAGGTGTCACATCTAATCCTATCATGAGTCAACGCGTTTGCATGACGAAAAGTAGCTTGTCCATTGCGGGAGCGGTTATTGCGGCTGTCACCGTGATTGCCATGGTTACTGTAATCTTCGCCTGCATACGGTTGAGACTGTCATCAAGGAACGTGGACGACAAGATCGCTCTCTCACATTATTAACTTCCTGCAACTCACCATTTACGCTTGTTATTCTTTAGCTATATTATATGTATAGGAGGCCTGGAAACATCCGTAGAACTATTATAGACGGAAACACACAGTTATTTCTCGGTAATTATGGCTCTTCATATACGTGCAGCGTTAATGAAATTACAAATTATAGAGGAGACAAAACTAGAATGATAGTTTAAATTTCGTTAGAATTATGTAGATTAAAGAAAGGCTAAATGAAAATTTGTGTAAATAAAGAGACAGAGATCGGGGGACGTTAATGTTATACAATAATTAATGTGCGCATAAGATGTCCTGTATATCTGTAATCACTTATGTACTTAAACGTTTAATTATTTGTACATGTGTATATGACTATATGCGATTTATATGCAATATGATATTTTTGTACTGCAATATATTATAAAAAAGATACCCAGACGTCCGTTGTGAGGCAATGTAAATATGATCATAATTTTTGTATTGATAATAACAATATATATGTATCAATATCGAATCGAACTGAACAGAAATAAAGTAGCCTGTCAGCTATATGTTCATGTATTCAATATGTTCTGTGAATTATACGTAGCTTTTATGAGCACAGTTCCGTAATATATAAATTAATATAAACGAGAAGAAAAACAACGATTATCAGACCGGGAAGCTAGCAAATGAAATGCCAACGGCGTATACTACACGCATTTCCACGTGCTATATATATTACAAAACATAAGTCGATTGATGAATGAATGAATATTAAATACATTCCATTTGATAGTTTTGGCTTTTAACGAATTGCTGCAACAAAATTATTGTAAGAAAGAAACCACGATGCCAAGCAAGGAATCTGAAGACGTCAGAGAAAGAATGGATGTGTACAACAGCGTCACTATCATGCTGCCGAAGCAATCCGAATCGGAATTTGCTGGGTTCGGGACCAGCGCCGACGAAAACGAAGAAATCACAAATAAATCTATGATGGGTCAGCGAGTCTGTATGTCTAAAGGTAGCATATCCATCGTGGGAGCGGTTATTGGTGCAGTCATTGTCATTGCCTTGATTACCGTAATCTTCGCCTGTGTCCGTTTGAGACTATCGACAAAAACGGTAGATGACAAGATCGGTCTTTCCCAGTATTAACTCCTGATGAGTAACTATTTCAGTATTCTGGTGTGTGTCATCTATAAAAGACCAGGCGACGAGCGAAGCATGATAGTGGTGTGATATACTCAAATGATGCTGTACATAATGCTATGAATACCAGTGGAGTTGAAGTAATCACACTAATCTTTAGTGAACGGTCAAACTGAAATGATACTGCAACGGGATTTTGGTGACAACATCAGTAAAACGTAATGGGAACGGTGTGTGATGTAAATAATTGTTCGCGAATCATCTCTGATCGCTCAAAAATAGTTGAAATATAGTTCCTTGATAATATTGACTATACAACATATACTTGTCGTGTATGTTATGGGAACATATATATATATATATGTTCATGCAATAGCGAATTATTGGTTCTATTGAATTAGCATAGTAGTAATCATAAATGTTTTATTTAATTTAATAGATTGCTTACCTACAAGATTACAGACATAAAGTTATAGTTACCTTCTTAAGTACGCGTAGATGTATATGTATATAAAACAAATTGTGATTGATATGCAATATGTTATTTTTGTATTCAAATGTAATCTAAAAGGGGGGCTAATGTGCTTATGAACCATTGTAATGTATTGCTATCGAATCACTGAATTTGATCAAAATAAAGTATCGCAAGTCAAGTATATACACATATTGATAATATATTTATATCTGTGGTGCAACGATATAGCTTATTGGTTACTGTAACATACATTCACATGCACAAACTTCAATTAAGCACGTCAATTCGTAAGCACTCACACGCCTTTTTCATCCTCATGCACCTCTCTCTTTCTCTCTCTCTGTCTCTCTCTCTTTCTCTCTCTCTCTCTCTCTCTCTTTCTCTCACACACTCTCTCTCTCTTTCTCTCACACAC